CAATTGAATATGGGGGTGGGTGGGGGGCTTTATTGAGCAAGAATCAATTAACCAGAGAGATGTGTTCAAGAAACAATAGCCTGGTCTATTTTTGATCTCACGTTGAAGCCTTAACCATGTGTTAGAATTTGAACTAAAATATTCCTTTGAATTGAGGTGTTGCCCTCCTGAATATTTTGCAAAATGTACTTGCATGAACTATAATAGATTTTAGTTTATTCCTTTTTATAAATGAAAAGTTTATTGTCTTTTACATTTTATAAACTGTCCTATTCATATATCTTTACTTCATTGTTGAAAATAGATATGCTGTCATTATAAATAATCTAACAAGTCAATTCAAAGATCTAATGCTTAAACTTAGCTTTCTGGAAGAAAAATTTGTTGGCATCATAGAGAAGCTGCCTGCATCAATCAGGCAAATAGTAATTTTATTTTGGATTAAGGACATGTTTAATATGTTTATTGTAGACTTCGAGAATCTTTGTTCTTTTTCTGTTCTGCATATGTGTAATTTCAAGTTTATTTCAATTTTACTTTTTTTATACATGTATCTCTACTTGTCTTTGTCCTGGTTTTGTGACTGCTTTGGGTTTAAATGATACCAGAAAAAGGAAGCTATTGGATTCTTAAAAAATATCTTTTGCTTTTGTGTCGTCTTTGTAATTTATATCCTTTTAAAGCCCAGGGCTAGTGGGACAAGGTCAAGTGGTATTAAGTTTTCTGTAATGTCCTTTGTTTTTCTGGTTTGAATTTTCTTTTTTTAAAAAAAGGAAAAAGAAAAGGACAAAGACCGCCAGTGAAAAGGAAACTATAGAATGACAGACTGAAAAGGATCTTATTATTTAAAGTAGAATATACAATATGAATTTTAGATTTTTAAAAAAACAAGTTAAATATTGAATTCTCTACAACATACCACTCTAAATGCCAATATTAAAAAGTAATGTATGATGTGAAATTTACTAAGCAGAAAGTTACTCAAATTAAGTTATACTATTTTACCTTGGTCTATAATTTTACTGCATAGTCAATACTTATATTACTAAGCTAATTAAAAAAATAGCAGTACAGTCACCAGAAAATATGTTTGAATTGTAGATTAGGAATACCATGAAATCAAAATTCGACTTGACTGCTGCCAAACTGCTCCAAGTAATCTAACCTCTGTAATTCATGATGGCCATAATTTAGGTTTTTAGTAACAGAAGTGCTTGATTAAACACTTTGCTGAATATTACTGTTAATTCTTCTGTCTAAAATTACAAACTATCAGTCTGCAATTTTGAGCTCTGGTGAAGCATACATAACATTTGGAAAGAAAGGATAAATTGACCTGTATCTGAAGCACCTTACAAATTAACCATAGCCTATCATCGAAAAAATCTTTTAAATATTTGATAATATTTTTATTCTTAGTAATGACTTTTTATATTTTTATAATAACTATTTTTATGTATTTGTATTTGCATGTATTTGTTGTTTTATTGATTGTTGTATGCCGCCCAGAGTTGCTTTTTGCGAGATGGGCAGCCATATAAATGTGATAAATAAATAAATAAATAAATAAATAA